AAAACAGGGGGGGTGAGGTTCTGAGCCTCACCTCTGTTGCAGATCATTTTTAATCCAACAAAAATACACACCAGACTAAGTCCAAGCTCTCATCACATAAATGGGCCCGTTTTTTTTCTCTATTCCTGGATAATTCTTTGTATTTTTATGAAATCCCAGCCCCAAGAGATGTAAGACCATGTAATGAAATCCTCAGAAGTTATGAACAAATTACATTTGGCACAGTGTGAATCATTTTTGCACTCTTTCTCTCCATAATCAAGAGTTTGCATGATTTTTAAGAAATGGGGAAGGGTTGTCAGAAGACCAGGTAAGGAAGAGGAACCCAGGAGAGGTGGCAGGAGGTGGGAAAGTGACAGAAAGCAGGGTGCTAATGGTGGTGCTGGCTGAGGTGTGGGGTGAAGGGCTGGTGCCAAGGGATGCCCGTGAACTCGAGTTCCCGAGAGACTCATCAGCAGCGCCCCCAATCCACTGTCCCCTCACCCTGCTTTATTTTTCTTCACTGCCATTTATCAACACCTAGAAAATTATATATTAGTTTATTTGCTTATTTTATTGTCTCTATCTTCCTAAGTAGAACCTGATCTCCATCTGCATTGCGTCACTTACTCTTGTAACTCTAGTGCCTAGAACAGCACCTGGCACAAAGCAGGCCTTTAACAAATATTAGTGAGCTGAATTTGACATGCTGCAGCACTGGGGGAACCCCGGGAAGCACTTCTGGCCCACATAATGCACAGGCCTGGGGTTCAAAGGTTCCTCTCGCTTACAGGAGCCAAAGTTGGTATGTATCAGGATACAGAGCTGATGCCTTAAATTCTGCCCTGGGGCAAAGCCAACAGAAGGGATCAGCACGGCGCCCTTTCTTACCATTTCTCACTTACACCCCAGAAGGGTGGGCTGGGGTCAGTTTGGCCATCTGCCCTTTGCTGAGATCCGACAGGAAGGACTGATAATTATCACTGGCTACACCTCTCGGTTTCCTTAAATATGCTTTGGGTAAGGTCTTGACACAAGCCTGCTCATTCCCTAGGATCAGGACTTTCAAAGGCAGATGAAGGAGCCACTTTTTTATGCATGAAGTTTTTAAGATTTTATTTTAAAATAATTTGTTAGCTTCTAAGTGGTTTGTTAAATGGCAATCTCCCTTTAACCAAGTATATAAAAATTAACTATTTCACAGATCATCACAAATCCACTCCGTTCAGTGGACTAGACATCACTGAGTGATCACTATCTCCTGACAGTGTGCTGATGCAGCAGTGTGAGACCAGGAGGGGACAGCCCTGTGTGGCAGGAAGAAACAGAAAAGGCATGGGACTCAGGGAAGGGCTCAGAGATTTCAGTACAACAACGAGATCTGGATGGTCTGATACAATTTATCCCTATGGAATTCTATTTACACTGTTTTCACTTTTTAAAGAAGATTACAAGTTTACACTACTTACAGCTTCCATCAAGCCTTTCAACGATGGAGTCTTGAGCATGAGGGCATCAAAGACTTCTTCTGACTCCTTCCGCACATACAGCAGCACTAACCGCCAGTCAGGAATGAGGAGGGAAAAGGAAAAATGGAGGCAGTTCATTCATGAGAGCATGTAAGAAACCAACCATAGGTGCTGGTCAAATAAAAAGAGAGGGCCTGTCAAGGACAGCACGCATGAGCCAAGATGAACTCCGCCCTGAGGACCACCGCTTCCCCTCTGCTCTGAGTCTGGCTCCAGCCAGGCGTTGGTCTGATGGAAGAATACTCAGTGAATACACAAGATTTGTGTGAGCAATTTATGCTTTTGACAGACCCAGAACTCACTTTGAATTTCAAACTCCCACTGAGAGATGTAAAGCAACGCACCTCTCTTTGGTTCTTCTATCCGGGTCAGTTTAGCAGGAGGTGGAATCGCAAAATCATCTTCCGATCCATATGGCCCCCTTTTCAAGTTAGATCTGTAGGCAATTCAAAGTACACAATCGTGACTTCAACTTAAATCACTTGCAGAAGCAGAAAGAGTACTAGGGTATATCACTGAATTAAAACGACCTTCCATTTTTTATCTGGTCCAGCTTATTTTGTAGATGAAAATCTGAGAGCTAAGGAAAGATACTGATGGAACCAGGGCTTCTGCTATTTAATGGCAGCACAGGGAATACACGGAGTTGACATTCCGGACACCCTTCATTGCACTTACATTAGATCAAGCTGCCTTCTCATGAAGAGTTTCTTTCTAGGAAACATTTCACAGAGGAGGTGGGGTTTGAGATATACATAAAGGTGGTAACAAAGGGGAGGACATGTCAAGAAAGGCGGGGAGGGAGGTGTGAGCAGGAAAGTGCAAAGCCAGGCTGACTGAGACAGGATGTCCCACAGGAAGACAGCTCTAGAAGGTAGGTTGGGTTCTAACATGCAATATCTTGATCATTTGACTCTAAGGAATTTTAGATTTTATGCTGAAGGTATTTAGGGAATGTGAAAGTTTTGTGAGACAAGAATACTGTAATCAAAGTGTGTGGTAAAGGCTGGAGGGGACCCCAGGACCTGCAAGTAGAAGAGCAATTTAGAGGACTCTGGGGAAAGTCACCGCATAAAATCCTAAAAGGCTAACATACAGTGTATCTGTGGAAATAAAAAGGAGAAAAGGATGCAGGCGCATTTGAAGAAAGAAGGGAAGGCTTAGAGGGATTAGCATCACAGGCTCTGGGAGGGTCAAGGTGGGCAGGCAAGAAAACCGTAGGGTAACTGAAGGTGAAGCGAGCAAGCGCTTGGTTCTGAGCAGAATGAACACTTCAAGAACAGGGGGTGAGCCTCAAAATACTCAGTGTGCCCCCACTTCGAGCCCATCCCAGGTCTCCAATGAAAGCATCTGGAGGCTAGAACGGAATTCACGAATTGCTAAAGAGGCAGTGGAGGCACGGCCTTCAGAGAAGGCTCTAGAGGCAACACTGGTCAGAAAGGGAAGCTGTGATGACCCAAAGAGCGGGAGTGGACCCTCAACATGGCAGAGTGCCGAGTAGGAGGGCTGCCGGCTCAGCTGTCAGGGCCTCGTGGGCCAGGGGGTCCCCCTGAGGGGACAGCAAAACCTCAACAGCGATGCATGCCCAAGGCCCAACCTAGGCTTCTAAACACCAGGAACACACGAGGCACGAAAGTGAGGAAGTGCTGGAGAGCTTGGGGCGTGAGAGGGTCACGTCAAGGGATCCTGGAGCCGGCTTGGACTCCGCTGACCTGCACAATCTGAGCAAAGTAAACGGCAGTACACGGGCTACAACTTATTGAATGAAACTGGAAACACTGAGTCCATAAATAAATACAAGAATAAGTGGGAAGTTTGATGAGGAAAGAGGTATTAACAAAGCTACAAAGCACTTCCCCCCAGTGTTACAAAGAGGAGCGACCTCCAGTGGGGGAGCCCGGCGACACCTCCTCTATGAGGTGATCACCATCAACACCAGGGCGAAACGAAAGATGCGCCACCAGACGGGACACGCTAAGAGCGCGGCCACGTGTCTATGACACTCTGCCCAGACACACAAGCTGAATCCAATCATGGACAGACCCAAACTGAAGGCCATTCTACAAAACTGGTCTGAATCTTCAAAAGCATTGGGTTAGGAAAGTCAAGAAGAGACAGAAGAGACTGAGACTGTTCAAGATTGAAGGCGGTTAAAGAGACAGACAACTACATATACTGTGTGAGTCTGGACCCTTTTTTGCTATAAAGGACATTACTGGGACAACTGGCAAAACCTGAATGGTGGGTGAGGACTGGCTGGTACTAAGGTCTGAGTATCCTGACTTTGGTGATTGTGCTGAAGAATGTCCCTGTGTACAGGACAGAGACACCGGGGTATTGAGGAACGGGAGGCATTTTCTTAGGCAGCCCGGAAAAGTGAGTTCTTGTATCATGCTTGCAGTGTTTCTTTATGCATGAGGCTGCTTCAAAATAAAACAAAGTTATTAAAACACAACAAAACAGAAATCTTACCCTTCACCTTCCAGTTCTTCTGAGGCAATGGGAAGGACCTAAGACGAAAAAGATAGATTACTTTTCAAGTATATGCTCAAAATACTTCATAATTGAATTATTCCTAAAAAGAAAATGGTTTTCATTTTGACCAAATATAAAATTTTTCAGCCTTATTTTTTAATAACTAGATTTTTTGAGAGATCTTGAATTCCTGTAACTCAAGGGTTGGCAAACTATGACCCATGAGCCAAGGCTGGCCCAATGCCTATTTCTAGTAAATAAAGTACCTTTTTGGCACGCAGCCACATTCATTCATTGGCGTATTGTTTGTGGCTGTTTTGGAACTAAAACAGCAGAGTTGAGCTTTCACAACAGGTGCTGTATGACCCAAGAAACCTAAAATATTCACTATTTGACCCTTTACAGAAAAGTTTGCTGACCCCTGCTTGCCCCAAACTTCTCATTAGAAACCAAATACAGTGGCAATGGCTCCCCCAAGCACTCTAAAAAATCATTAGTCCGTACAAATCTGTCAATCAAATGCATGGCAGACCAGCTTCTTGATACTTATTTGAGCTCAGCACAGAGACAAGCTCCACTGCGTCCAAGTTCCTGGCTCTCCTATGCTTTCACTCAAAGCAGGGCGTGACTAGCTAAATTTTACATCAGTTGCCAAGATATGGCTATACATGTGCCAATGATGATTCAGTACCTGAAACCATGAGAAGAGCCTTCGGATGTTCTTTATGCCATTATGCCACCTACCCTCCCTACTCTGGCTTTTTTCTCCTGTCTAGACCCACACAAATTAAGTTCACAAGATCACAGATTCAAATTCCAAATTATGTCACTGTCCTACCATCTTTTACATGAGCTAAGATGTAAACAAACAAATATAACAGCATTAAGTTGACAAATGTGGTACTGCATTTCCTAGTCAACAATGCTTAAACACACTTATGGCAAGGGCATCATGTCACCCTAATTCAATATTCCAAGGAGCTGGCCCTTCAAACTGGTCAAACCTCACTGTATTTTGGCTTCTGTTTACCATAAATAATGCCAAAGACTTCCTTTGTGTCGAGTCTTACTTGCTGGCAGTCACCCTGGGATCCTGGTTACCTACATGAGTGCCGCGTTGAAGGTTGGCGAAATGTACATCAGGAATGAAGAGGACAGGCTGAGTATCCAGATCAATAAAGGGCTTGAAAACTGTGATATCCATTCGTTTGTGAGAGGGAAGCAGTGGTACTTTAACATCAGAAACTGGAAGAAAAAAAAAAAGGATGCCACAGTAAACAGCTTATATATACAGACTGGACACAGTGGCTGAGCATTTCATCGGTGTTCAAGAAACTTACACGGCAGTGCTAAAGAGCACACACGTCATGTCACCTGAACTAAAAGGAAAACCAGTTTTTGTGGAGGGATATGTTGTTTTATATATTTACACTAAAATCAACTGAACATGTTATCAAAATCGTAAGAGTAAAAGGTCTCTTTAAATACACACAGACACATACACACAGATTTGGAACAGAGGCAAAGTGTGTTTAGTTTTTTCTGAAAGGCCAAAACTTATATAAATAATAATTTGGAAGTAATTTCACCTTAGCTATCCTCAGTAAATAATTTATATTCTAACAGCAATGCACTCTAACTTCAGGACACACGCCTTACCATCACACCTTCAGCTTCAGAACTTAATCCCAGTGGCCTTCACAGTAAGCATGACTGTCTAATTTTTAATGTATTAAATTACAGGCTCCACCTTCCCCCATCACCTGGCACTGAGGTGCTTTGTGATGAGCCTCCCTAGTTAGTGAGCTGCTCTCTGAAGTGACATCAGGAGTTTGCACTTTGATGCTGACTAATGTGCTCCAGGGCAAATGCACGCAGAGATGGACAGACTGCTGAGAACAGATGCTAGCAGCCCACGCATTGCAGATGAAACACAACTGTCAGTGAGCAGCAATTATTGTTTCCCTTTGCACACAGACACAGGAGTTTGTGAATATGAATATTGGTCACATTAAAGAAAAGAGAGAAAAAACTTTCCTGGTAAATTGTCCAAACAGGACCCCTATAGATTCTGCAAATGTCAGAATACTAAAACTACACTTATTTGGAATTAAGACAACTTGAATTCTCAAGGGTGCTACCATTATTCTTAAAATACAGACAAGTCCCAGTTTTAACATAAGCTATTCAGGTGGAACATGTGCTATTTTTCAGGTCTGAAACCAGCAACCTGAACTAGAACTCCCAATTAAACCAGTTTGAACTCTGGAAAAACTCAAGAATCCTTCCCATCGTTCCCCAGAATATGACTTTGTTTAGTCACTCATCTGTTTTTGTGTCTGGTAAGGAAGCAATGCTACCACTTCACACAGTGACAAATATCCACCATTATTACATCTTCTGCTTGAAAAGTCAAGTCACCATTCTGAACGGAAAAGGTCTTAAACACTTGGCCGGAACATTCTACTTACAGGCACCCAACTGGGAGCTGGGGTCAGCGCACTTGCCTTTTCTTTTGCTTTGCTTTCGCTCTTCATCCCTGATTTTCCGTTCAGCCCCCTAGAGGTCAGAAGAGGGTAAGACATGACTTCCGTTACCTAATCCTCTGTAAAACATGTAACACTTACCCTCACCAGAGGAGGAACATCCCTTGCTGGAGATGAACTCCATTACTTATATTCGTGGAGTTTATCATAGTAATTTCCTCTAAAAAGCCTGCTCTTACAACTATTTCTAACTATGCAAAATCAGAGGGAAACAACATCTATTTAAAAAACAAAGCAGTCATCGATGCAGCCAGGTTAAATAAAAAGCTAAGAAAAAGCTGCTCATGCACCACACTGCCTTCAAAGCCAGGCATGCCTGTTCCTCTTATCTAGTAGGCAAGAATATGAAAAAACAAACAAACAGGTTGACCCTGCTTTAAGAGTATGGCCAATGTTATCACTGAAAGCTGTGATTCTCTCCAAGGACTTAGTCTCAAGTAAATGACAGATCTGACCAATGATAACTCACTTTAAAAGCAAAGATTTAAGTAGAAATGTGCATAATCACTTAAAAGAGAAAAAAATGTACTCCCAGCCCCATAAAGAGGACTTTATGCACAATGTATATCAAACACACACAGAGTGGCAGTGGCACTCAAATGAACTCACAAAAATAAAAAATAACCATATTAAGTAACAAATGAACTGAAACTAAGCAAGTAAAATAAAAAACATTAATTAATTATTAATTCATCATTTTGCTTGGCAGACTGGCATTTACTTCTGAGTGGTAAGATTTCTTTACAAAGCCACCCAGTTAAGTAGGTTATTTTTCTGAAACTAAATTCCCTGACAGCAAAGAAGGGCAATAAAAATCATCTCACTGGTATTGGCACTGTTAAACAATACAACCACATTTAAAAACACAGACTAAAAATCACCTCTGCCTCTTCTAGAAGGTGCTAATATACTATACTAACATATCAGTAAACATACAACCTACTTGTAAAAACTGCTATGCAATACTGACACAAACACCATCTCCCTGACAGAAAAAGAAAGTAAATATCCCCAATCTCCTTCCCATTACTGTACAGAGTTGTCTGTATCTCTCTTGTCCCTTCTAACAGTCTACAATAATTTCACACTGATGACAAATTATACTCCCCAAAAGGCAGTTTTTAAAAATAGGACACTTTCCTCCTTATTATCAGTTACATACATAAGGAATAAGGGACTTCTGCTTCCACTCAAGATGGGAGTAATGTAGACCAGGGTTACCCTCCACCTTGAAACAACAACAACAAAAAAAAGACAAAATGCTTGAAACAAGGATTTCTAAAGCCCTGGACACCAGGCAACAAAGACCAGTGTTCCCTGAGAGCCAGGTGTCTTCCTAGTGTGACTGCCTCCCCAGACCCCAGGCTGCACCACAGGGGAATGACTAGTGGTCTCCTCGACCCAGGTCCCCCGGGCTCAAGGGAAGATCAAGGCAGCAGGACAAAGTAGAAAAGGGGAGAGTGTTGTAAGACAGAACCCCAGAGATCCTCAGCGGGTCCCCTTGAGTATTCGGCAAAGTGCTGAGAAGTACATGTGCATGAGGAAGTTACCTGAGGTCAGGGGAAAACTGTCAGAAAAGATTAGAGACTAATGCCTGAAATCACACAGGGAAAGTAGTGCCTGTTCCCACTGATCATCCTAGAAGAACTTAAAATTCACAGGGCCTTAGGTATAATAGTCAGGAACACCTCACCTGAGCAGTGGAAATTAATTAGCCTGACAGAGAGCACTACTCTAGTCCACCTACCAAACTATAAATTAAGACCTGAAAGGACCAAACTGTATCCAAGGAACTTCACTAGGTATCAGGACAAACCTCAAGAACAGTCATAGAATTACAAAAATATCCAGCACCTGACAAGGTAAAACTCAGAATATCTGGTATCCAGTAAGATTACCAGGCATGCAGAGAAGCAGGAAAACAGGACCTTATGAGGAGGTATCAAACCATTGAAACCAATACAGAACTGACACAGAAGTCAGACAAGGACGTTGACCCAGATATTACAACTGCATTCCCTATGTTCAAACAGTTAGTGAAAGAAGCTGAACACGTTAAGACATGGAGGACACAAAACAGATCCAAAGTGATTGTTTGGAGATGAGAATTACACTGTCTGAGATGAAAACTATACTGAACTGGATTACCAGCAGTTTAGACAAGGCAAAAGAAAAGACTGATGAACTTTAGGACATAACAATAGTGACTATCCCAAATGAAACACAGAGAGAAAAAGTAATCCAAAAAAATATCCAAAATGAAACACAGAGAGAAAAAGTAATCCAAAAAAATATCCAAAATGAAACACAGAGAGAAAAAGTAATCCAAAAAAATGAAGCACAGCCGTGAACCAGCCTCAGGACCTTAAGCAGTCATATGTACGTATAATTGGTGCTCCCAAAGGAGGAGGAGGGAACACACATATCTGAAGAAACAATGGCTGAAAAAATTTCAAATATGATTAAGACTATAAACACACAGATCCAAGAAGCTCAATAAATTCTAAACACAAAAAACAAAGAGACACATCAAACTGTTCAAAACCAGTAAAAAGAAAATCTTAAAAACAGTCATAGGAAAAAAAAAAGGACAAATTACATATGAAAGAACAGAGATAATGACGACAGCAGAATTCTTGTTAGAAACAACATAAGCCTGAAGACAGCAGAGCCACCTGTTTAAAGGACAGAAAAAAGTCAAATAGAATTTTATACCCAGAAAAGAGGTCTTTCAAAATTGAAGGGGAAATACTTTCCAGACATGCAAAAGCTGAAAGAATTCTTTACCAATAGACACACACTGCAAGAAAAGTTGAAGGAAGTTGTATGACATTATAGAGAACAATTTAAATTCAAGTTGTTTTGACCCTTTCTCTTACTAAACAGCTGAAGAAAGTAACCTTATGCAATCACATCAGGCCAAGGCCCAAAAAGTTAATCCATGACATCTGTTCCCAGTTACACCTACAGAGAATGACACTCTGATTAAGAAGAAAACCATCTTTGGGAAACAAGTGTCAATGTCTTTCTCTAGTAAGATGGACCAGGGATATATGCAGGCTCTTTGAAAGAGGAGCTGCCAAATTTCCATTGGTTAGAGATCCAATTTCTGTTCCCATTTTCTCTGAAAAAGTACTAAATTGCTGCTGCTTCTGAAATAAGAGAAAATTCCATTTATTAAACGAGTTAAGCGATTCATAATAAAGTCCTTATAAAACTTTCTCCTTAGGAGATAAAAACAGTGTAAATATCTATGAAAGATACCCAAAGACATCTAATTTGTAGTTTCTTACTGTGAATGTAGACCAGATTCATAAAATATGAGAGTTTTAAGAGCCAGCAGAGGGAAATGAACTGACAGGCACCAAATAACAGGTAAGTCAAATCTCAGAAAGGAGTGAATCAAAGAGGCAGATGGGATGTTCTACAGAGGTGAGGCAGCACAGGACCAACCTAGAACAGAAGAAGAAATCACAGCCACAAGGGACGATGGACGTTAAAGCCAAATGCACTACCATCAGGAGTCGTTGTGAGGGGTTTTCATGTGCTTGAAAGGTTCAAAGACTGAAAAATTACACACAGCATGCGCATAGTATTTTCTTCTCATGCAGTAGTTTATGATAACCCCTAACATCTCTGAGATAAAAAACGGGGGGGTGAAAACTGTATAACTTTCTATGTCCCTCAGGCCCCTTGTGTTAACATGACACTTATTACCTATGTACCTGTGTGGCTCCTATAGGCTATAAAGGCTGAAAATGGGAGAGGATACCAACAATTTTCATCTCCATGTAGATCTCTACTTCAGCAAATGGAGAAAAACAGGGAAGGAATATATTTAGGAGCTTTACAAAGAGAGCCATGCCCAGGAAGGCTGAGAACCTCTGGGCATCTACTGACAGGCCACACAGAGCCCTGCTAGAAAAGCAGGGGACCAGATGCCCCCTAGGGGCTCCAGGAAGGAATGCAGCTTTCCAATACCTTAACTTTAGCCCAGTAAGACTGTTGTCAAGTCTTCTGACCTATAAAACCATAAGATAATTGTGTACTGTTTTGAGCCACTAAGTTTGTGGTAGTTTGTTAACAACAACAGAAAACAAGTAGAACATAGCACATAATCAGGCACATGGTAGGTACTCAATAAATATTACTGGATCTGGGTGTCTGGGAAAACTGTGATCTCGCCAGTCTCAGGCTCATCGACTAGGGCCAGGTGTCGTGCTCTGTGCATTCAGCACGAAACTCAGGACACCGGGCCTCTGATAGCAAACAATCTTCCAGTTTTCTAGTACCTTCTAAAAATCTTAATGCCAGAGAGGTTTTTAACAGGATGAAAAGAAGGGACTGGCAAAAAAACATACAGTCCAATATTTTTGAGTGGGAAAAGTCAAAGTTGTCTTCAATCTTAGCTCAGTGGACCACTCAGTTCATCTCTGGCTGCTGCCCAGTTCTCGAGGACACCACTGTCTCTAGTCCTCAATACACAGGGGGCCTCCTAGCTTGTCTCTGGATTTTCCCCAGCTGAGCCCCTGGCTCTGCACCTAGTGAAAGTGATCACATGTGCTCCAGAAAGAAAGGAGTCATACTAGAGAAAAGAAGTGATGTCGAACCACTGGGGCCTACTCTTTCTTCTTGCCTACCTGCCACTGTACAGAATAATCTGTACCCCATCTTCTCCTGCCTTAGTGAGCTGACTGACACCTTTACAAAGGACCTGTGGGGAGGTGAGCTGGTTAAAGGGTAGCCCTCACCACACAGAGTCCTCAGAGCACCAAGACCACAGCCATTGCCTGTAAGTCCCAGTAAGCTGAGGGGCCACTGAGGACTGAGCTCCGCCTGGTTAAGCATCCCACGTGCACCACCTTGACTCTACCAGATGTGCCCAACAAAATGTGTTTATCAACCCTTGTAATTTATTCTGTTAAAACAAGGTTTTTTTCTCCCCTATATAATGGCTACAATAATAATTGCTAATTTAAAATAACCTATTTTATATCATTAGCAATACATTTAACATTTAACACTGAGTCTTTTTCTGTGAGGAAGAGTACGTCTCATACACTGTACTTTAAGTGTCCCTTTCCAATCTGACAATCTCACCTTGTCACAGAAGACCTTTATTTGGCAGTAGGCCCGATGCACAGGCTTGTTGCTACGGTTGTTATAACTGTAGGTGTCAACTTGGATATTAAGAGGCAATCCCTTCACGCCTTTCTGAGAAGAGAAATCTGTGCTTAAGCAGTTCACAGAGATGAAAACCTGAAAAGGGGAGAAAAGGTTCCATAAGCAACAGGCACCAATGGTCAACCGCAGCACAGCTTACAAAAATGCTGACATCACTGGAATTGCTCAAACATGTTCTAAATGGGAGCCAGCTTCTCATTCAAAAGAAACTTTTTTAAAAAAAGAGGTAATAAAGTGTTTAAAACTACTTTTGGTCATAGGAATGGCAGACTTACCAGCTTCAAGGCCTATCATTTTCCCTCTCAGAATACTTATTAACTGTCATAGAGTGGAAGAGTCTGGTTGTCTTTCTCAGTGTCATTTTTAAATGTTACCAATAACGTAAGTTCTCTTTGCAGCTGTTTTATAGCTTAGTACAAGCTCTTTGGCATTCTGCCTATACGGTGTTTATACCACCTCTTAGGATGACCTGTAGAAACCCAGATGAATCCTTGTATAGCAAATACACATGCTCCATCCTCTCCCGACCACGTCTGTGATTCTGGGTTTTAACCTCTCCATACATGGTCATAAAGATTTGAGCTCCCTTCAACTATTTAGTTTTAGAATTTATTTTTGATGCATGAGCACCGCATAGTGGATATTATTGGAATTACAGTTTTTAAAATAGGTTAGCACACCTCAGACCCAGGACCCTGATGCTGAATTCCTTCCAGTCCATGGGTCAGCAACCCCTTAGCCCTAACAACCAAGAACAGATCTACCACAAGTTGTGTGGGTGCCACAGGCTGAACCAAGACCCACAGAGGGAGAAGTTTAAGTCAAAGAGGGGATCAACTTAGAAGAACATTAGATCAAAGAGAAAAGAGTGGGAAGAGGGGGAGAGGAGAGAAGCACATCATGGCCATGATGAGGAAGTGCGTTCTCCAGAAGGCATGTGAGCTGTCACCCAGGGTTTATCCTGCTCTGGTCTGTATACTTTAAGTAGGAAAAGACTGAATCATCCTAAAGATTGAGAACTTGTCCAAATGAGCAGATTTAAAGTCATCTCAGCTTGTCCTTCACTCTCCGCTGACTAGTATACTCCCCGCCCTGGAATACACTTTAAATGTTGACATCTCTGTCCTTGTCATTCTTCCTCCTCCTGTGTCCCTCTTGTCCCAGTTTGGGTCACCGCTCCCCCACCCCTGCTCCTCTCTGCCTCTCCAAATTTGTAAAGGTCCAGCTCAAGTGCCACCTCCACACAACATTCCCATTTGCCCTGGACTTGTGTCCTGGAGCCCACAGCACTGAGCACCTACTGTTTCAGGACCTGCACTGGGCACTTATCTCACACATGATCACATTTCATCACCACAACCTGAGAGGCAGTATTATCTTTCTACACAGATGAGGCCCAGAGGTATTTTTTTTAACTGTCCCCAAGACAGAAAGCAAAGGACTGAGATTTGGATCCAGGACTTTTCCCTTTACACCCTGTTTCCTCTCTTTCCCCAAACAGCTTTTTATCCTAGACTAATTATCTGGCTTTTCTTTACTACCTGGAGTGGTTTGCCATTTTTAGATCTGTATGTTTTATCTCTCCAACGAGACTGCACATGCTTAGTAAGCTAGTGTTCTCTACATGGCACCTTTATCAATATTGGCACAAATGCCTGATCTGGGGTCATCTTATCTTGCCTGCTATGATGTTTCTTTCCATTGAATTCATTTTCAGTCAATAAGCAAATTGCTTTAATTTTCAAAATACCCAAATCTATGTATTCAGACAAAAAGTGGCACCTATGAATTTCAAATCCATTACAGAAACTTAGTGCTACGACTTTACATCTTATCCTATGTATTTTTAAAAACATTATATATACAATCTGCAAATTCAAGTTAAGGAGACAGTCAAGGCAGACAAAAAGGAAGAAATCCCTGCAAACAACTGAGCACATAAGTAACCCAACAACCATATTTTTAATTCTACAATCAAACGGGAAACCTAAACTCTTCTCTATCATTCAAGGCCACATGGTCCAAGTGCTAACTCAAAAACGGCCGCCTGGGAAAGTTACACTTTACTCTCAACAATTCCAGGAAGTCTTTGACCCGAAGTGATAGTCCCTTTACAAGAGGATTTCACGGTAATCCAACCTAAAAGCCAACCTCCCCTCGCTTCTCAGTGTCAAGTTTCTATTCAAAGCAGAAAAGAGCAGAGGCAAAAATCCCAGGATCAGTATAAACAGGAGACTTCAGGGAACCATTACACTCACTCTTCAATATTACTTGCGATTGCTTTCTTTTATACATTTCTCTCCTATTTTTAAATCTATTCTTGCCAAACTTGACAGTTTTCTAAATATCAAAGAAAGTTTACAGCATTCTTACCTCAGCATTAATAAATATCACCTAGTCCAGATAAATACAAAAGTGTACAGTAAATAGCAAACAAGATGTGCAACACAAGAATGCCAGGCCAGAGACACAAGGTCCAAGGACAGTGGACCAAAGACCCACAAGAGAAAGATGTGAGTGGTGCTCACAAAGCGGCTTGCGGCAGACTCCCAGGCAGGAACGAGCAGGACAGTCACGGCGCCACACTGGCACAGGAGGGACGTACTCACTGTGTTTAAGCGTCAACCAAAGGCTGGCAAGGAGGCAAGATCCCTCATGTATGTTCTAGCAAGAGGTAATGTGATCAACAGGAAAGGCTTTGGTCTGCAAATCAGAACATCTTTTTGAGTTTTAGCTTCACCGCTAAGGAGTGCTGTGACCACGGGCAAAGTGCCTCATCTGTCAAATGCAGGGTTGAATTAGATGGTCTCTAGATCACTTCTGACTCTAGAGTCAGAGTCTTATGATAACATTCACATTGAAAGATAATGAATCCTCTATCTCTACTCTGTATTTACTCATGACAATAATTTTATATAATACATTTATCAATCAGCTTTTTACATATTATTTTTAAAGTGCCATGTAAGGCTGCCTGCCGTTTAAGTTAGTATACTAACGACTTGTATAAAATCAAGACTCTTATAAAGCAGTGGTTCTCAAGGTGTGATGCCAGGAGCACCAGCCCTGCCTGGGAACTTGAGGGCCTCACACCTGGCTCAGTGAGAATCAGTGGGGACAGAGCAGCCCTCCCTAGGGCCATTGCCTCCCTCTCCTTGGCCTGGAGTGGGTTCCAGACACCAGGACTATTTTTAGGTGTTCCCCAGGTAATTCTAGTGATCAGCCAGGATCAAAACCACTACTGTCAGATTAATCTTCTATTTACTTACACACCTTAATCCATAAAAGGTCTCCTCTGACTTTAATTTAAAAATTTTTTACAGAGATACAACACTATCAAGTAAGGAATATTCATGTACTCCATGGAAAGATAAAGATTAAAGCATCTGCTCAACCTTGCTACTCAGTAAGAATGTGCAAATTCTCAGGAACTCACACTTCATAAGATAGCAGCCAGAGAAAACCTATTAAAAATCTATGAAACTCTACTTATGTTGATTCCTCATGTGACATTTGGTTTTCAAAAAGGTTCAGTTTGTGGAAGAATTGTGTGTTCAGGTGAGGGTGGAAGGCATCTCTCTGAACTGTAGTGCGGGGCAGACCTGCAGTGTCGTTCCCACTGAACCGCAAGCCCCTGAGGACAGAGACAAACACTCAACCAGCCCTTTCTGTCCCTGAAGCCTGTTACAGCACATGCTTAACACGTTTTTAACAAGAGAAGGAAAATGCCGAGGGAATAGGGAATAAATACGGCTAAGAGGAAGTACAATATAGACACATAAAATAGCTTTCACGTATTCACCTAAAGCAAGAATTGGCTAACTTTTTCTGTAAAAGGGCCCAATAGATAGTGTTTTAGCCTTTGTTGGCCACATGCAACCACTCCACTCTGTGCTAACAGTGCAAAGGCAGCCACAGACAGTAAGTGAACAAATGGACATGGTGCAATTTCACTAAAACTTCATGTAAGCAGGCAGCTGGCTGGCCCAAGGGCTGCAGTTTGCTGAGCCCTGATCTAAACTATCCTCTAAGTTGCTCAGATAGTACTTTATTCTTACATCATCACAATGTGGTAAAACAGGGAAGAGGTATTATCTTCCTTTTCGTAATTCAGTGTTTCCACTCTCCACGTAAGTGGCTTGCTGAGAAGACACCCAGTGTGGACTTCTTGCTAATAAGCCACTCAGCCATACTCTTTCTCAACACAACCCACTCTCATGGAAGGGAGTCTATAGAGTAAGACTTGAGGGAGAGGCTCAGCCCCTAGGAATCTTCATTCAGGAAGGTGACAATCTTAAATCAGCAGCACCCACACCAGGCGAGAGGCAAGTGCGGGAACACGAGGCAGAGCTCTCCTCTGGGTCCTAGGGCAGCAACAACACAGGCACGTTCTGCTCCTCACAGTGTTGGCTTAGGTTTGCTTCTACTTGTGGGCAACCCCCGAGTGAGCAGGCCAATGGGCCAAGTCACCCAAATCTGGATAAAACAAATGATCTGGCCATTCTCACCAAGCAGAGAAATATTCTACGGAAAATTAACAGAAAACTCCAATATCTCCTACAGAGGATGTGAAAAAGATAGAAAGTAAGATGGATTATTACACATTCAAATCCTCTATAAAATACATGTGTGTAATAACTTTTCCATTTTCATACTTTCTTGCCATTGATTTTAAGGAAAAGTTTGGTTTTATTCAAGTACTTGGAACATAAATCTTATAAGATGAGCAACTCATGTTCCCACCCAAAATCACTAGAAGAGAAAAAAAATAACCACAAAAACGAGCTGCTAAACAGGTCAAAGACGCTCTGCAGGATTCCTTCCTGGATGGCCAGCCCACTTTTCTAAGGCAGTTCCTCATTCTTGGCTGACAATCCACACACTGAGACCTTTTCAAAAGATTTGTTTTCAAACCTCAGTTTGAAAATGAGAGGAAACAACAAAACTAAAGAGTTACATTATCAAAGGACTAACTGGCCTAGATTTTTTAAAATTCCAAATGCTTACAAACACAGAACCCAGAAGCAATCAGATCCTGAAATGATTTATAATGATTTTTCCAGGAAGCATTATGG